GAGGCCTCGTCTGCCAGCGGGCAAGGGAACGTTACTTCGGTGATACAACTGAAGAAGTTCCTGAGCCACTACTTCGGGACCAGCGTCGAGTCCGAGGATGCCTTTTCTTCATACCTCCTGTCTTCCTTTCTCGAGGATGGGGTGGGAATGTTCGAGATCATCATCACCGTCATTCGTGACAAGGAGCGTCGGTTGCTGCCTGGTTCCGCCCGCATAGCGGCGGTAAGGTCGCTTGAAATCGGATCCGACACTGATTACCGGGCATTTCGTGAACGATACCAATACATGCTCTACGAGAGCCCTGTTTGTCTTCCTATCACCTCCAAGGTGGTTCCTAAGACGCTCTACAAGGTGGTGCCTCTCCGAATGTATCGGCTCTACGTAGAACGTGGGGCGATCATTCGGGGTGGGCGAGCTCTGATCGAGCTCCTTCCCTCTCGGCCGGATGAGTATCAATCCCTCCGCGATCACGGAGAGTGCCCCAACGACACTGTCGACCGCATCACCGACAGCAACGTGACGGAGCTGCACACCTCGGGTCGACGCCAAAGGAGCGATCCCCGATATGTGGTCATGGCTATCGATGCACGTTTCTTCTCCATGGAAAATGGGGGCATGCATATTACTCGTCAGGGTACCTTTGCATCGCGCGAGAACATCGCGATCGGGTACTGGAGATGCGTCTACTTCAAGGAGGACTGCTCCATCATTTACCTGAGGCCTTGGTGCTATCCGCCCAACTTCCTCAACTCCTTGAGTGATAACCCGAGGAAGTGTCGGGACGAGATGGAGAAGTACCATCAGATCACCAAGACGGAACATGTCCGCGAGGTGGTGTCCGTTCCATGCCATAGGTGCATGACGGCCCATCCGGTCGGCGCTCACCTGTGCACCGCCTGCTACCTTCCCATCTTCTACGATGGCGTCCTGCCCACCGGAGACACGAACGGCGGCCCTCGCACGATAGCGAGCACTGACGGGTTGGTTCCTCCCTGGCTGGCAAAATACGAGGGCTTCGTCCCCGCTCTGTGGAACAACTCAGACGCCAACGCCATCGGAATGGCCCTCTACTCGCAGAGTCCCGCCGTCGATGCCCGGTCCTTGTTGATGTCTGGGATGCGGCCTCCTAAGTACCTTGACAAAGAGGACGTGGATGGCATTTTCCGGAAACTTCACGACTCGCTCCGAGACGAAATCCTTGACGGCAAATACCGTGACACGGTCGACAACAACGTGGAAGAGTGGGTAGCAAAGGCGATCCTGGTAAGGGGTCTGGCCTTCAACGGGAGCTCCGTCCCCGAATTCTTCGAAGAATATGAGGGATATGCGGCTGAGTGGGGCAGACGCCTAACCACCGCAAACTTCAACGCCAACCGGTGCGGTTTCTACACGTCCTACTACATTCTTGAGGCCCATATCATTGGGCTGAGAACAGGACACCTTTCTCCGATACTCCCCAACGATGTGTCCGGGGAGGGATTCAAGTTCCAGGTGGGGCTGCTCGCACAGCACTGCGGGATATTGCAGGCCATGCGGAGAAGGGCCGGTTTCGATCCTGCCGCGCGCCTCAAACGGGCTATGGACACGATACGGGAAGGCATTAAGAAGGGGTATGTCTACACCCTCAACGACCTCAGCAGTATGGACGATCTGATCTACCGGACGTCCACCGTTGCCTACGACACCTGCTTGGCCGACCGTCCTCAAACCCAGGATGACATCAAACAGGAGCTATCCGACCCTGTACCAAGGAAATACCGCTTCCGACCCCGCGATCGCCATCGACCCGGAATTCGCCTTACACCAGGCCCCGGCGTGAAGGACGAAGACGAGCCCGACTTTGCTGGATCAGCGGAGGATGAGCTGGGATCGGATGGTTCTTCGCACGAAGATGACGAGAAGCCTGACGACCTTGACGAGCCCATGGGCGACGACGAGGAGGAGATCCCTCCCCCTCCGCCACCGCCCCCGGCTCCTCCTGCGCCGCCTGTCCCGGTAGAACCGGAGACTCCCGTGGTGCCGCATGCAGGCGTCATTTCTGGCGATGCTGTGCCAACTCCTCCTCCTCCTCCTCCCGCTCCCATTGCGGCAGGCGTTACTACGACTGGGGATCCGTTTGAGGAAGAGGACATGGCCATCAATACTCGTGTCCCTGACACCGAGTCCGAGCTGGAGGGTGAGTCCGACCAACCCAAGGCCAGAAGGACATCTCGCGGTCGGGTCCCCGCGCCCGAAAAAGGGCAGGGGGGCGTTCAGGTCCCGCCTAGCGGGCAACCCAGCTCTAAGAGCATGGCCCAGCCTGCCCGCCCATCCCCGGTCCCCGCGAGAAGCGGTGTGGAAGGTGGGGAGAGAAGGGGCAGGACTAAGGGTTTCTACACCCAGAAGGATCCTTTTACCGGCGAGGACGCGACTCCCCGAGTTCGTCTTCGATCGGGCGGTCCCGGAACTCCTGCGTCCCCACCACGGGATGCCACCGGTTCCTTGGGCGGCCATCGCGGCTATGACCCGCGTGATGACGACAACGACGAGTGGGAGCTTCCCCCGGGTGTGCCTCGGACCACTCGTGCGGCAGATGAGTCGCGGCCCCGACGAGATGACGATCGGTCAAGGACCGCGCTTGGGGCCCGCGAGGATCGTCGTGGTCCTAAGGGTGAGGGGAAGGGTCGAGGAAAACATCGACCTGGCAAAGGAGGACGTGAGGATCCCGGCCCGCCCCGACAAAGGGATGATCGTGGCAGGGACACCCGCGGAGGCCGACGCGATGATCGCCGACCTCCTCCACGTCATGAGGAGACCTCCGAGAGGCGCGGCCCGGGGCGAGATGAGCGCCGCGGACGTGATGACCCGGGCGATGACCGTCGCGATCGCCACCGGGACCGGCGCAGGGATGACCGACGTCACCAATCAGATCCCCCTCCGCCTCGCCGACCTCCGGCTGGCGACCACAATAGGGGTGGTGGTGAGGATCGCCGTCGGGATGGAGGAGGTGATCGAGGTGACCGTGGTGGACGCCGAAGAGACGACGCGCCCAGGGACCGGGAAGAGCCTGGTTCAGGGTGGTAGACGGGTGCCGCAATCAGCATCCGCCGGTAGACGGGTGCCGCAATCAGCATCCGCCTTAGAAGGGCGAGGATAGTACGTGTGTCGCCGACAAACGCGACCGCGCCGGTCCTCCTCTCGCCCGTGCAGCGCTGCTGGGGGTGATGATCTCCATTGCCCTGTACCGCTGATCCGGCGTTGCTCGTGTCCCTCCCGCACCGCTGCCGTGCGCGCCGGAGACGGTTCCCCTGGCGATCCTGTGTGAGGCTGTGACCGCACTAGAAGTGCCGGGCCGGCCATTGCCAGTTATTTTCACACCAATTTCGGAACTTCTGTTTCTAATTTCCTCCCAACTCGACTACTCTTCCAACCGCTCCACGGCGTGCAGTGAGGCGCGGTGATCCAGATAGGATCCCCCTCCGCATGGCATCGTCCCATGACGACTCATGAACGGCACGAGAGGAATCTTCGTCTGGTTCCTCCAATATGTCTTTGTTCACTCATGTGGTCCACTCGTCAAATAATCCTGTCGCCCCGATAATTCGGGGTGGTGGCGGGATTTTAACTGGGGCCCAGGTGATGCCGTTTGGCTCACCTCTGAGTTGACACCGGCATTTTTGGTTGGTCCCTTTCGTCGTGAACTCAACTGTCTCGCATCCTTTCTCTCGTCCTGATATCGGATGAGGGGGGTGTGTTTTGTTCACGTGTCGTTTCATCATGTGGCTCAAGCGGCCGAATGGCCGTTTGGCTCAAGATTTCAACCTCCCGTCAGGGCAATCTCGGACCCACGTGCACCCGCCATAACACGGCGGCACTCTTCGTCCCCGAGGTGAAAACCGTGGGGCTGCGGGGCGCCGGTGTTAGGAGGTAGGTGGTCGGTCGTCGAGGTCATCCTGGGCTTGATTGACTTCTCTACTTTTGCAACCTATTTCCCAACCTCCCCAAACACCGTCTTTTTCCACCGTCACATCCTCAACCCGGTCATCATCCACAGCTTCACCCGAGTTGTGTTTCCGGGTGCTTTGGGTACATTGTGATCTACCTTGTGCTCATTTGCTTCCCTGGGCTACTTCGTGTTCGCCCAAAACCGCACCCTCAAAACAAACCATATTGTCGTCCGTTTTTTTCCCCTCCGGGGTCAAAAAATCCCCCTTCCCCCCCTTCGCCTGGTATCATATCCCCCAAGCACCAAACACTCTCCCCATATTTTTCGTCAGGGGTTTATTCCTCTGGGACCAAATTCCCCTCCCCCATCCTACATTTGTCATTTTTTGTTTTAAAATATATATAATCTCTAGTAAAGAACGGCCACTTCCAAGGACCGGCTCCAAAATGTTGCTTTGGACCTCTAAATCGCCCACTCTCTGCATTTCAGCTAAAATGTGGACGTTTTTTTGCTCGAGGAGTGCAACGAGCCTGGTAAAATAGCCCCCACTCCCCCAAACACCACACTCTCCCCATACTTTTCCTCCGGGGATTTTATTCCTCCGAGGTCACTATTCATGAGGTTTTGTACCCCTACCCGTTCCCCTCAAAACAAACCATACTGTCGTCCGTTTTTCCCGTCCGGGGTCAAAAAACATCCCCCTTCCCCCCCTTCCCTGGTATCATATCCCCCAAACACCAAACACTCTCCCCATATTCTTCGTCAGGGGTTTATTCCTCTGGGACCAAATTCCCCTCCCCCATCCTACATTTGTCATTTTTTTGTTTTAATACATATATATATATATATATATACACATAATCTCTAGTAAAGAACGGCCACTTCCAAGGACCGGCTCCAAAATGTTGCTTTGGACCTCTAAATCGCCCACTCTCTGCATTTCAGCTAAAATGTGGACGTTTTTTTGCTCGAGGAGTGCAACGAGCCTGGTAAAATAGCCCCCACTCCCCCAAACACCACACTCTCCCCATACTTTTCCCCCCTCCCCCCCCTCCCCCCCGATTTGTTTCTCGAGGAGTGCAACAAGTTCACGTACCTGGACTCCAACGGCGAGTGCGTGGAGCGCTGCCCCGACGGCTACTTCGGCCGCGGCACCGCGGAGCTGGGACGAGCGCCTGCCTCGGGAGGAAACGGAAGCGACTGGTGGGTGTCCGTGGGTACCCAAGGGATTCCAAGGACTGCCATTGGGTTGGATCTTTAGACCTTAGTTTTTGTTTTGGCGTTTTTTTTGGGGTTTTCCATAACCCTCCGCCCCCAATATATATATATATATATATAATATATATATAATATATATATATATAATATATATTATATATATATAAAGCTTAACCTTTAGCAGGGGGGATGGCAACAGCAACCAAGGTTTCCAGTCACCACTCGTGGTACCCAGCTGGCCTATTGGTTTTTCATCGGAGGCAAAACCCGAGCCCCTGCTTACCGCCGAGAAAACCGGTAAATGGAGTCACAAGCCGGCAGCAGTTTCTTGGCGCTTGGTGGAGCGAGGGAGGTCTCTGGAGTGTCAAATCCTGGCCAAGCCCAGGCATCCGGTCCAGTAGCTTAGCTTCTTAGTTATTTTTATTTGGTTTGCCCGGACTCACTCCAGACGTCAAAAGCTTACTCTAGGGCAGTCTTTACCATCAGTCTTTACTGCATCGAGGATTCATAAGTCACCTTGGAGGTTCATTGAAATTCATAGCCATGTTCACTCCGATATGCTCAAGACTACGTGTTGTTTTCCCCTGTTGGTTTTAAAAGGGGGGAATCTATCACTACTGCATCATTTTCTATTTTTTCCCAGGGGAGAAATACTAGCATCCTTGACCGGTCGCCTTATCGTGGCTCAGCCTAAGGGCCTCTTCCACCGCTCGAATCGAAAGATTCCGGGCCCAGAAGGACCCGACCCTTGGCCTCAAGCCAGGTCTTTTGGAATGCAGGTCGGGGAGGAGGGCCCATAGGCCTCCTTTTTGTTCAGTTTGGTTGAACAATTGGATGGATCCCCTTGAAAACACCAAAAAGGGGTCCAAAAAAGGACACCCCCAAATGTCCATTGACATGAATATTGACAGCTCACATGTTGGTTGATTCAGTTGGTCAAGATCGCGCGATGTGGGCACCGACTGCGAAGTGCCAAGCAGTTTGCGGAGGGCACATGTTCCCAAATGAACTTGAACAACAAGACAGAGGAGCCCAACAACGAAAGGGAAGAACATGTTCCTCGTGCATCTGCATTAGCAGTGTTGTTGAGGCTACCTTGAAGCAGCGATTTGAACCCACTCAGGCCAGTTTGCGCCAAACTCGCAGGTCCGTGCCTTCGCCCGCTTCACAGACCTGGGCAGGCATAGCAGGCCGCGCGGGCCTAGGCGCAGCGCTTGGCCCTCGCGCGCTTGTGGCTTGCGGTCGTCCAGAGCAATTCATTTCCGGGCCACAGCCGAGCGAGCAACGTGGCTGCTGGACATCTGCGCGACGCGACGCTGCGAGAAAAGAGAAGAAGGTAGAAGCACGTGGCGCGCCATGGGCGCGTCGCAACAGCGCAGGCACACTGGCGACACCGGATCCCATGCGTGCGCAGCGCGGACACAGCTTGCGATCGGTGCGAGAAGCAGGGAATTAGACAAGGTATGACCCCAAGATAAACCATGCAGCCGGTGGTTTCCTGTAAGGGGGACCCCGGGGTTTCCCTCATTCCCTACTTGTCTCAACGATCGCAAGTCATCTCCATCAGCTTCCGGAGCAAAGCACGGCGCGGCGCGAATTCAGGACGGAACGGCCGGCGATGACTGCGACATAGCTCCCCGAAGCATAGATTTAACTAGCGAGAACCCGAACATCAGAAACTGTTTTTGGTAAAAAGCCGTTGCCATGATTTTAACTTTGTTTTGTATGTTTCATTTGTTTTTTAACGTTGCCATCAGTTTTACTGTTTTTTTGATATGTTTTATGTTCGGCAAAGCTGTTGTTCATCTTCCGCCAACATAATATTTCTCATTCTGTCCCCAAAAATCCACAGGTCCAAGCTCTTTCTTCCCACGAGGTGTGCGCGCCCTGCTCGGCTTCTCATGGCCTGTGCACCTTGGCACGCAACGCGAAGCCATGATTCCACTCCCCGAGTTGGATTCTCGGTCCCCCGACCTCTCACCGTTTCTTTTTTGGGGAGGGTTCCCCTACCCTTATTCTAACCTCTCTACTGGAGCACCTAGGATTTCTGCTTTCCGCGTTTTTTTGGGAGAGGGCCGTTTCGGCGAGAAGCTGGGGATCCTTTGGTCACTGGTGAACATGGACGCGTTTCGCCTTTTCCTACTCCGTTTCGCTCTTTGTTTGGGGAAGTTTGGGGACTTTTCGGCTTTTCCTGGGTGAATCCACGGAAGTGAGGATTAGGTCCACAATGTTGAGGGGTTCTCAACATGGCTTTTGCGGCGTTTCGTTTTTAGACCGCCATTTAAGAGCCAAAATCTTGTGTGGAAATCCTGCCAACAAGTCGGGCATCCCGGGGCCAAAGCGATAACACGTGGGCGTCGTTGCACGTGGCATTTGGACACTTTGCGTTTTTGTGATACCCTGGGTTTTGATATGGCTACCTTATCACTGTAAACTTGGTCGCAGCCATCCCCTTAGCTTTCTAGCTTTTAAGGTTCAGTGGGGGTTCCATGTAACCCACTGACAGTTAAATCTTTTAGCAGCGGATCTGAGGGCAGCCCAGCAAACAAGCAGAACCTCACAGAACGGCGCCTCCTCAACTCTCCCCCCCTTTTTTTTTATCCCGCAGCCATAGGAAGAAGAGGACTTTCTGTTCTCTCAACGTCCATGCCTGATGAGTGGTGGCAGAGACCAATACATATGCATGCGATGGATGCGTTTGTTGCTGTGTATGGCTACCATGATCCACCCATATTCTTCTTCCAACCCAAAAAAGAGCAGACAATTACAGTGTTGAGGAAGCATTGGTTGTGAATACTGCAGCCTTCACCTAAATAAACGAATAAATGAAGGAAAGGAAAGGAAAGGAAAGGAAAGGAAAGGAAAGGAAAGGAAAAGGAAAGGAAAGGAAAGGAAAGGAAAGGATGAATGAATGAACAAATGAATGAATGAACGAATGAATGAAATGAATGAATGAAATGAAATGAATGAAATGAAATGAAATGAAATGAAATGAAATGAAATGAAATGAAATGAAATGAAATGAAATCAAATCAAATCAAATCAAATGAAATGACATGAAATGAAATGAAATGAAATGGAATGAAATGGAATGAATGAATGAATGAATGAATGAATGAATGAATGAATGAATGAATGAATGAATGAATGAATGAATGAATGAATGAATGAATGAATGAATGAATGAATGGAAGGAAGGAAGGAAGGAAGGAAGGAAGGAATGAATGAATGAGTGAGTGAGTGAGTGAATGAATGAATGAATGAATGAATGAATGAATAACTGAATGAATGAAATGGAATGAATGAAATGGAATGAATGAATTGGAATGAATGAAATGGAATGAATGAAATGGAATGAAATGAAATGGAATGAAATGAAATGGAATGACATGAAATGAAATGAAATGGAATGAAATGAAATGAAATGTAATGAAATGAAATGGAATGGAATGGAATGAAATGAAATGAAAAGAAAAGAAATGAAAAGGAATGGAATGGAATGGAATGGAATGAAATGAAAACAAATGAAATGAAATGAAAACAAATGAAATAAATGAAATGAAATGAAATGAACTGACATGAAATGACATGAAATGAAATGAAATGACATGAAATGAAATGACATGACATGAAATGGAATGAATGAATGAATGAATGAATGAATGAATGAATGGAAGGAATGAATGAATGAATGAATGAATGAATGAATGAATGAAGTGAGTGAGTGAGTGAATGATTGAAACACTCGCTCAGTAAGTCAGTCAGTCAGTCAGCCAGCCAGCCAGCCAATCAATCAATCAATCAATCAATCAATCAATCAATCAATCAATCAATCAATGAATCAATGAATCAATCAATCAATCAATCAATCAATCAATCAATCAATCAATCAATCAATCAATCAATCAATCAATCAATCAATCAATCAATCAATCAATCAATCAATGAATCAATCAATCAATCAATCAATCAATCAATCAATCAATCAATCAATCAATCAATCAATCAATCAATCAATCAATCAATCAATCAATCAATCAATCAATCAATCAATCAATCAATCAATCAATCAATCAATCAATCAATCAATCAATCAATCAATCAATCAATCAATCAATCAATCAATCAATCAATCAATCAATCAATCATCATCAATCATCATCAATCAATCAATCAATCAATCAATCAATCAATCAATCAATCAATCAATCAATCAATCAATCAATCAATCAATCAATCAATCAATCAATCAATCAATCAATCAATCAATCAATCAATCAATCAATCAATCAATCAATCAATCAATCAATCAATCAATCAATCAATCAATCAATCAATCAATCAATCAATCAATCAATCAATCAATCAATCAATCAATCAATTAGTCAGTCAGTCAGTCAGTCAGTCAGTCAGTCAGTCAGCCAGCCAGCCAGTCAGTCAGTCAGTGAGTCAGTCAGTCAGTCAGTCAGTCAGTCAGTCAGTCAGTCATTCAGTCAGTCAGTCAGTCAGTCAGTCCGTCCGTCAGTCAGTCAGTCAGTCAGTCAAATCAATCAATCAATGAATAAAGGTATATACATATGTATGATACAATGAACTCATTCGGCACGCATAGTCACGGGGCAGACCAGTAGCCCCGCGTAAGCCCTTGTGTCTTGCGACGCGCTTGCGATAATTTTGCCGCTGTGGCCAATACACTCAGGAAGTGAGACACCTGCAACCCCTTCTTCTTTGAAGGGAAACCAAAAGGAAAAGCAAAGCCATTCTGGGCTTCATGGAGAAGAGCTGGGAAGTGAGTTTCGACTTTGGGGTCCCTCCATAGGTCGCATGCCGTTTTGAGTCCCCATGCCGTCTGAAGTCGCCTTTGGCAGCCGAGGCTTGAACACAAGCTACGTGCTGGAGTGTGGGGAGAACACCTACCTGGACCCCTGGAAGCTTGGTCTAAGATGGGGCAGGGATGCCCTTGAATTCGTTTTTCAGAGGAGACTCTCTTAAACCGGCATACGCTATAAAGGTTTGAACCCCGGGATCCCAAAGACGGAATCAGTTTGCACTTTAAGGTTCACCCAATATGGACCTGCTCTCGTGGAGATCCACTGGAGGTCTGGGGGAAGGTCCTCAAAGCGCAACCCCCGTTTTGAAGTTTTTCTGCTTATTTGGTGAGAGCTTGTGTCTTAGAGACCCACTTTTGCTGGAGGTTTGACTATGTCTCCCAGAAAATTGTTCTGATACAATAGTCAGTGTAGTTTGCGATCTCGTGAGGCAGGTTTCTTTCATAGAGATCCTTCCTTTTGGGCCGGTGATGGCTGTTGGTCTGCCGGTTTTGGAGTTCCGCGCCCGGAGCAAGGCCAGAAGAAGGACGGAGGGTTTATTGATGGGGAACTGAAGGGCCGGTTGGACCCTCATGGGAAAGCGAGCGCATTCCGGCTGAAGTTGCGTGCTCACTTTTCAGGGGAGCATGGTATTGCGAAGTGTGCCGCGCGTGCTGACCCCTTCTTTTCCAGGGCCTGGTGAAGTGTCAGGGGAGCACTGCGGGATTTGTCTCTGTGCGCCGGTACCTTTGCAATGTGAAACCAAAGTAGGGGTCGCCCTATTTAATTTGGGGGTCCTTTTGTTGAATGAAACAGCAGTGTAATATTTACTCCTTCAACAAAGTCAGGAACTGGGCCGGCGATGTTTGGGGGGCGGCTGCATATGAGCATGAGTCATCACAACCTGTAGGAAAGGGCATGACATTGGGCACACTCACCAAAGTATCCATTCGGACATAGGGGTTACTCAACACATTTCCCGATGAGTTGACCAAGAGTTAGACCCCCTTAAAGGACACCAACCATTTTAGGGAAGCCTTATTTTGAGAAACACCATCTAATCTCAGGTAACCCTTTGTTGGTGGTTTGGATTCGTGGTTGGGGGGTAGTTTCCCAGTTACCCACAAGAGCCAGAGGTTCAAATCCCCGCTATCGGGCTTCTATTTTTCACCGAGGAACATCACCTGTGTGCAGACTTGCCCCGATGGCTACTTTGGGTTGGACGGCGAAAGCAAGGAGCGAGACTGGCTTCGCGCATCGTCTCCAAGAATTGGCTTCAGTTGGGTGTGTATGTTTTTTGAGGGCATACCCTTATTGGGGGGAGGTGTTTTCGAGGGAAATCATGGGAAATCGATAGTGAAACTGTTTTTATTTGGTTTGGGTCGGGAGTTGTCTCTAAATCCAGGAATCGCTCAAGAACTCCAAAAATAAGGCGCCGCCTTCCATTCCCTAGCCAGTCCTAAAGGAAGTATCCGATTCTCAAAAAGCACATGGGCCTATCTATTTGCTTGGCTGGCCTTTGTTTGGAGCCAACGGAATCTTTGACAATTTGGACAATACCACGTTTTCTCCCCGTAGCAAGCAGAGAGCTTATCTTTCTGTACGCCCAAGAAGCCAAGCGCTTTCGATTGAGCTGGCCCTTTCGTTCTTTCGTCCATTCGAGGGCTTGGTTTTCCTGCTTCCCGGTCAATCGGCTCGGATGGCTTCAACAAATCCGTGAGATCCAGCCCCCGCCCCTTGCATGTAGGCGTAGAGCACATTAGGCTTGGGGAAGCTGGGGGTTCAGGCTAACGGCTGACCCATCGAGGGACCGCTGACCATCCCCGGACAAAGTGACCCCTTTTTGATGGACGGTTGCGAGATCCAGAAATCGCAGCACGAAATGAAACCACGGCTGAAACCATGCAAGGTTGGTTGGTACTCTCGTTGGGGAGTCATCAGACACCAGGCAGGATTTCATTTATGCACTAGGTGGTTGGTCCCATTCAGTTTGTGTCAAGGACACATCTAGGGGTAGCTTCCCCATTCTTTCCTGGGATCCTTCTTTCCAGCGATCCTTCTTTCTAGAAAGCCACCAAGAACCCTGGGGAACTGGCGATCGGCTTCTGAAAAGAACGATGGCTGAAAAGAATGGGGAATCAACCGCTAGAAAAAAAGGCCAAAAACCGTTGTAGGTCCAGCCAAAACCACAGTCAAGCTATACAGAAGGGGTATGGCTGAATCAACCCCTGGCACACCCTGAGCCTTTCATAGGCATGCCCTAGAGCCGCGAGGAGGGCGGCCCCAAGATCGGCGGCACCTGCGAGAAGTGCCTAGGCGCGATGGGCATGGGGCGTTGGGGCTTGGTCGCGCTCGTGCCTGGGACGCCCAGGCGGGGGGAAGTTTCAGGAAGACATGCGCCGCGAAACCCTGGTACTTGGATATGTGCCCAGGGGCGAGTTTCCCCGTGGGATGCTAATGTCGGCTTGGCACGTTTTCGGCGACCGGCGAGCCTTTCGATGTCGAAATTCCGGCAAGGAGTCCAGCGATGCCAGTCGACCCCAGTTCGCAGTCCACTGGCCGATTCCGAAACAGTCAAAACCATAGGTGTCCTTTTTGGTTTTGGTAGAAAAATAGATGGCGATTCCTGGTTGACCTGGTGGTTCTTTCTCATCTACCAGGGCCATCTAACTTGCCCTAAAAGGACACTCCGTAACAACTCCAAAAAGAGGTCCGTATTGAGAAACCTGGCCATCCACTCGGGTTGAATCTGGCCCTAAAAGGATACCTATGGTCGAAGCTCGTTTTCTTGACGAGGCTGCAGGATCCCAGGCCTTCAAGTGGATCCCAGGCCACGAAAATCAGCGTTTGTTTCGATACCTGCAGGGTGGTGTTCGGCGGGTTTCGACGTCGACCCCAAGAAGGGGCGGTAGTTTTTTTTTTTGAGACGCAAAAAAGAAACCGCCCGCAGGCTGGTCTGACCAATCAGGAAGTGAGTCAAGCTTGATTTCCATGTCCATTCCTGATTTCAAATGATTGTGGGGAACTTTATTTTGGGGCCATTCTCAGACAATCCTTTAGGGGTTGCTTCCAGCCATACTTTGAAACCATCTTTTTCTTTCTCGGAAAAGCACATCCTCGAGTTTCTTGAGGTTTTCTAGAAAGATCCGCATCCCTGGAGGTGGGGAAGGTACCCCTGGAAATCCCCTTTGCAATGCCACACCTTGGGGGTTGATCAAAAGCTCCTTTACACAAAATGACCATTCTGTAAAACCACCAAACAGAATTGACATGTCAACCACCTGGGAAAGCTTAGGGTCAACACGAATTGGGCCTCTTCAAGAGAATGCTGTTGATGGATAAAATCCTGCACCAGTTGGAAACCCTGGGAAAGTTTGTTGGTATTCACAGGGGAATCATCCCTTCAGGGCCTCTAAGGTGGTGCAGGATTTCGTGCATCCACGGTATTGATCAAACCCCACTTCCAAGCCGACCGTGGCCTCAAAAAAATGCAACCACTTTCTTTTACCATGATCATGATCAAAGTCACCACCCCAAGTAGCGGGTGAAAGGGAAACCACCGATTCCATTCTCTGACTTTGATAACCCTCAGAAACCGTCAAAATAATGACACCAGACGTCTCGCCCCGAGGAAACCAGCCGGTTTTCCGGTCCTTTGTCCCCGCGCGCGTGACCGCCAGGCACCTGCAAGAAATGCAGCTCCTCCGTGGTCTGCGAAGTCTGCTGGGACGGCACATTCCTGAACCCCCGCACTGGCAGGCCGCAGCGCGAAGCGCGCGCGAAGATGGCGCGCATTGCGCGTGGTGGTCGTTTCGGGCGGGCGGGGGGGTTCGACGGGGGGAGTTGTTTGTTTGCTTTACTTGCGGATGGTTTTGTTCCGAGTTTGTGTGAGCTATTGTGGTTGGCCAAGTTTCCGAGAAGAGTGTGTGTGTGTGTGTGTGTGTGTGTGTGTGTGTGTGTGTGTGTGTGTGTGTGTGTGTGTGTGTGTGTGTGTGTGTGTGTGTGTGTGTGTGTGTGTGTGTGTGTGTGTGTGTGTGTGTGTGTGTGTGTGTGTGTGTGTGTGTGTGTGTGTGTGTGTGTGTGTGTGTGTGTGTGTGTGTGTGTGTGTGTGTGTGTGTGTGTGTGTGTGTGTGTGTGTGTGTGTGTGTGTGTGTGTGTGTGTGTGTGTGTGTGTGTGTGTGTGTGTGTGTGTGTGTGTGTGTGTGTGTGTGTGTGTGTGTGTGTGTGTGTGTGTGTGTGTGTGTGTGTGTGTGTGTGTGTGTGTGTGTGTGTGTGTGTGTGTGTGTGTGTGTGTGTGTGTGTGTGTTTTTGGGTCCCTGTATTTTGACACCCATGTTGCGCCAGCCGTCTCGCCAGGTGCGCGATGGAGTGCCCCTCCGACCACTACATGGTGGGCTTCGGTGCTCCGGCGCACGCATTGCCTCGCATCGCCGGTTGAGGCTTCGTATCGCCTTCGGATCGATGGCCGTAGACTTCAGAATGGGGTGGACGGGGTGACTTGAACACCAATGATCAGAAGAAATTCAGCCAGGGCCGTGGACTTCAGAATGGGGTTGAGGGGGTGACTTTAGAAACCTATAAGCCATGATCATGAGATAAGTTGGTGATTTTGTTCGGCCCGTTGGTGTGTTTGTTTCTCCTGGCTGGTTGGTTGGACGGACGGAAGGGCAAATTTGGCACGGCGTACATTGCTTGCGGCTGGCATGCGAACGGTCGCAGGGTTGGAGGGCTTGGGCTGTTTTGGGATTGATCTTGGGCGGAGTTCGGGTGTGTTCATGCAACCCTTTGGGTCTGCCGATTTGTCGGGTTTGGGCTGGCTCTGCAGTTGTGTTCGGGTTGGTTTGCAGTTGGCTTGGCGGTGTGGAGCAGGCCCACGTGCTTGCCTGAAAATTCGCGCCCTACCTCCGCTCAAAAGCAATCCCAAAACAGCCCAAACCAGCCTTCTAATCCAGCTGCAGCCAACCTCAAAGCCAAAGAGCTCCCCTCAGCCCTCACAAAGCCCGCGACCGGACGCCAGCCCCAAACAATGGTTTAGCGGTGTTCAGGCAGGCGGTAGAGGGGGTCTTAATATTCGAGCTGCTAAGGACGAACCCGGTGCTTGGCAAAAGAGTAAATCCGAATCCGCCGACCAAAGTATGTGACCAGCCATGTTCCTTTCAGCTTTTGAGGTGGCTCCCTTAGTTTCCTGCTGCACATGTAAGCGGAAGCACTGGGATAGACCCGCCAAGTTTCAGGTTCTTAGGTGTATGTCAACATGCTTAGAAAAGTCTGAATGTATGAACCCATCCATGAACCCCTGCTATTTACATTGTTAGTAGGTGAATCAAGCTGTGAGCCACAATCAAACCCCGACCAAATGAAGGTGTGTGAGGGATAATGCCAACCTCTTACATGGCTGCAGCCGCCTTTTTGATTCTTTACATGGTTTTGGGTAGACCATTTCAATACCGGGTTTTGATTCTGACTCATATGTTTCTAGCTTCGCCCCCAGGATCCAACGTGCCCCTCCAAATGTCTGCTCAGAGGTGTTCTTAGAGGGGGCTTGGTTTGATTCCCCACCCCCAAAACGGAACTGTCCACAGCGGAGTAAGATAGCTTTATGGTTTCGGAGGTTCCATGGAACACATAGGTTTCCAAAGATCACTTTGGCTGAAAGTTTCCACTGGTTGCAGTTTGGTCCGAGACCCTTTACCAATAAAACTCGATTCTTACCCAAACGCCTTGGGTACAAATATTCACCATGTTTTGAAGGGGTCAAGCTTGATACATGTCTCCAAAAATAGCGTGCCCTCCAACATGCTGGGTTTCCATTTGGCTTCCCTTTCAACCAACTTCAGTGGCACTGAGCCGAGGTGTGGAGGGTCGCATCTGCAAGCCTTGTCCTCTGGAAGCTGCGGGTTGCGTCAATGAGACCTGGTTCTTCGAGTGCCGGGGCGACAACCAATATCTGGCCGTTGGAGGACGGGGGTCCCATAATTTCTGCGTGCATTTTCAGTAAGACATCGCTGAAGCCCCAGATGGTGACAAGAAAGGGGTTGACCTGAAGCAACTTTGAGCACTGAACATGTTAACTTTACGGGATGTTATCAAACACCATGTTTCTCGCTGAGGGCAAAAAGCATTCTAGGCTAGTGGTTACCCACATCGGGTCAGTTGCCAGGGCCAAACATCTTCCCTGAGCTCTTTGACCCGACCTTTCTATTTTGGTTTCTTCTTGGTGCCGGTCAACCTTTATTGTGGGTTTCAGAGACATCTGTCCTGTGGGTGTTTCTCCAACCGTCGCAGAAATTAAGGGCCACAAGGAAATCTCAACCAGCCCCCAACTTGGACTGACATTTCCTTCCTTCCACCAAGGTTTTGGGAGGTTGCCTGGAAGATCAATTTCGTGGAGGGGCCAGGTGGTTGGTCCGTTTTGTGCCATGGCCTTAGTGGGGAGGGGCCTTCTGACCAAACTTCCGGGGGTACCATGAAGGCTTCCTTGCTTGGGCTTCCCTGCGGAAAACGGAAAAACGGGATCTGAGATGTCCAGGAGGTTTTCGGGGCAAGGTGGGCAGGAGCTTTCCAGGGTCTTTGGTCCGAGAAAATTGGGGGCCACATCCCGAAAAGGGGTCTTTGGTCTTTGCAAGGAAACTCGGGGGCCACGGTTTTTCTAGCTTGCCGTCTTTGGAATGTGGTTGTGGGTACATTAATCTTAGCGTCCTGCCCAAGCCTCCGTTGCCATCCAAACCCGAGAAGAAGGAAGTTTGGTCAGGCGCGGTGCCGACCGATTCTTGCGGCGATTTGCCGGTGATCTTTGGGTCTGGCTAGACCCTTTCTTCTGGCAGGGGTTTCAACACCCGAAACGTCATCGACCCTTGTTGGTTTTTGGTGGGCTCCCTCGAATCAATGCCAGGTGTTGATTACTACTGTGGATGGACGAAATCCCGCACCACCTAAAACACCATGGGAAGGCTTCCATTGTTTCTTGGGATTTACAGGTGAATCCTCATTTCAGGATTTCTTCGGTGCGAATTGGATTTCGTCCATCCACAGTAGGAGCTTCTTTTGGCTTCCCCCAAGCCACCCGTCTTAGGGAAAGGTTTCTGATCTGACTATGGGCAGGAGAAATGAGCTTCATACGAAACAAAAGATCACGGGAGCCCCTCATCTTCTCAGTTTCTGCGGCCCCTCAAAATTTCCGGGTGCATGAGAATGCTGAAAATGTGTGTGTGTGTGTGTCTTCCAGCTGCCTTAAACCACGGGAAGGGAAGACGCTAAAAGGCGTCTCAAATGCGCCGCCCGCCCACCAGTCGGCCAGGAGGCACTTGCACCACCAAGTGCCCCGATGGCCGGGGGCCCCGAGAGACGTTGGGGAAAAGCGGAAGAGAATCCCGTCGCGCACTTGGAACTGCTGCACATGTTCTTGGCGCAGGTTTCTTTCTCTTCTTCTCGGTTTGGGGGGTTTCAGGAGGTTCTTTTTCTTTTCGGGTTCCTTTTGGGGAGCTCGCGGGTTGTAAAGAGGAGCGACCCCGGTCGCCTTCTGGGCCGATGTCGGTCCGGAAGTGTCTGACTTGAGTGCTTGGACTGGCACTTTCCAGGCTTGGACCAGAGTGGTCAACAAACGGGTTTGGTCGGTTACTCCTTGCCACGGGTTCTCGGGCAGTTGCTGGTTTAGTTTTTGTTTTTTGGCCGCGGAAGCGGGCACTCAGTTGGTTTGGTTGGTTGGTTGGGGGTTTGGTTGGTTGAACCGGTTCACTTTCCAGTACCATTTTTTCGCCACGGTCCTCCGGAAGTCGTTGGTTTGGATCTGAACCCGGAGGCTCCTGAGGCTAAAAGGGACTCCGGGCGCCGAACTCACCCAACCCTTTTCGAGAAGCTGAAGCCAGAAAACTCGAGGAGCCCAGCGCCGTTTTGGGGCGAGGTGGCCAAGTCTTCGGGTTTCCTACGCGGTTAAATGGTTGGGTTCTGAGAAATGGGCGCGTCCCTGTGTGAGTTGGCTACCAATTTTGTAGTTGGCTTCCAGAAAGGACATCACCCCATCAAGGACCCCCCCCCCACGCGGTCCTCCAGGCTAACCATTTCGCAACAAGCTCTTGAGTCAGATGTTCATCGTTTCACTTTTTGACAAGCAAACAACACATTTTTGGAGTCTCTCTTCGTGTTGATGCACCAGTTCTTACTGTGGATGGTTGCGAAATCCATTTCGAACCATGAAATGAAGCCATGATTGAAACCATTGTTTGTTGCTAGTTACAGGGGAATGGGGAATCAGGTGCAGAGTTTCGTCCATTTCCACAGTAGGTGGTTGGCCCCATTCTTCAAAGGGTTTCATCCATCCCAACTGGTGTGAAGCGGGCTTCGTGCATTCGCAGAATGAAGGGTCAAAGCACCCGCCTTTTGATTTCACGCAAGAAGGTTTTTGGGTGATTCCTTGATTGAATCGATGGGGGCTTGCCACGTCACATTCAAAGCACGTGGACACTCAAAGCCATTGCATGCCTCCCTCGCAACTTTGCTGCTCTTGGGTTGAGACAGGGTTTGGCTTTTGCACTTTGGCCACCCCTCGAGAGGATCCGGAGGGAAATTCCCTTCTTGTGGGTTGGTCGCTGCTCCCGGAGGAGTTTATTTCGCTGCAATCCCGATTAAGAAACACCCAGCCACGAAGGGCTTGGGTCTTGCTTGTGGGCAATTATGGATGATTTGCTTCGCATGGCGATTTCGGCGGACGACATGCGGCTTGGAATGCCGGAGTTCATTCCGGAGTTCATTCCGCTTGATGCCCTTGGAGGCGTTTTACGCCGAGGAAATCCACATGAAGATAAAATGGCCATCCTTCAAGGAATCTTTGGTGAAGGCAAATCCTGGTGACGTGTCGTACAACAGCCGCCTGGTCATCCCAATAGAGGGGCCGCCATGTGGCTTATATTCCTGCCCATCAGGGCCTTGCTATTCTGCTCTACATTGAGAGGGCGCGTCCGCTTGCATGGGTCTGACCAGACTGTCTCGCCTTGCCCGTGTCACCAGTTCTCATTTGGCATTATGACCGGGGAACAAAGCACACCCTCTAAGTTACGTAATGGTCTTTGGTTGGTTTACTTGAATTTGCTTTAGGGAGTCCACGGCAGTGGCTGCCAAGTTTGTGTTGGTGTGTCAGAATCAGCAATACAGCAAGGGTGCATACAAGAGGTTCATATTGGTGTTGGTCAAGCCCATATGAAGTCAAAAATGGGTACCCCAACTGGAACCCTAGTAAATGGAAACAGGGACTAAAACCTGCGGTCCAATTCCTGGTGAATTCATTTTGACCCACACCCATATATGGGTTCATGCATTCAGCCTTTGACAAAAGTTGCACTAGGCAGTACACAACCACCTACTAATCATAATTTTCATTTAGTTGATTCCGGCGTCCAATCAGTCAGCGCCTTATGCAAGCGAAACTTCTGCGAGACTCGCTCGCAACAATGATGGAGTTCCAAATCCGGGTAGATGCAGGAGCAGTCCAAGCCGGAAATTGGGCGGATATCCGCCCTTTTTGCTTCTTTAACTACGGTGTTTTGGGTAGACCCATAGGTGTCCTTTTTAGGTGAGCCTGGTTAAAAATAGATGGCCCTGGTTTAGAGGTTTTGTTCCATTTACCTGGGCCATTTGTTTTCCAAAAGGCCTATGGGTAGACCCGTACCAAGTGTTGATTCTGACTCATATACATTGGACCCCCCCGACCTCCAAATCATCAATGCAAACCACAAGCTGATTCTTGAGCTGCAAAGGGAATTTTATACCAGGATCCCATTGCAAAGGCTCGCCAAGTCACCTCTCAGGGATTTCACAAGGAAGCAAACGGGACGGGTACCCCAAGCAGGTTCTTGGAAAGTTCTTGGCATCGGGATCTTGCATTTGAAAGCCTTGGGCAGGGGGTGATCTAATACCTCTGCGAAGTATCACGGTGACCTTTGGGAGTTCACAGGTTACTTCGGACGTCCTGGCGTGCAACTTGAAGAAGATGGCCCGCTGATCGGCGGCACCTGCGAAAAATGCGCCTTGGCAGCCTTGGCGGAACAGGCGGAAACGGCCGTGGTTGGAAGCCGCTCACTCGCCCAACGCGAATCGACCTTTTGACATTTGGGTATGGGTCAAAATGAATTCACCAGGAATTGGACCGCAGGTTTTCGTCCATGTTTCCATTTACCGGGGGTTCATTTTGGGCATCTATTTTTGACCCGCAGCCATTTTGGTTTCCTTGCTTGGGAACCCAAGAGGTGATCACCTGATATTCTCAACGCAAGCAAGGCCAATGACATGGTCATGTGCATGGCCACGCGCGGGGGACACACATGGGATAACACAAAGAGTTGAGCGAAACCTGTTCACCAAACTCATGTGGATGGTTCAACGGTTTCTGATTCGATTTCCCAACACAAATGCCCACCAAGAATATGGCTCTTCGGCCATGGTCTCGTAGGTGCGAAATGAACAAAGCGGGAAACCGTGCCGCTGTAAGACACCAGTGAGGCTTTGCCTTCCCGAGGTCCGGCAGATGCTTCACGAAGTGGATCAAATGGCCCCCTCTGTTGCCTGGAGCCTGGTTGTTCCTTTTTGTTTTTGTGCTTTTTTGAGCATACAAATAGATCGTATAAAACAATTTGAAGATACACTTGGATAAACAAATCATATTTTATCCCTCCATGTATTTCAATCATGAGGATGCCTGTACAGGGCTCTCATTGGGTTTTCGACTCGTCACGAGGCGTGGGCAACTGTCAGCGCTGCAAGTCTGCGAAGGAGTGCCTGCAGTGCAAAGGCCGCCTTCGCCAAGCCCGGTTTTGCAGCCGACAGCCAGGGATAGCTCCAAACTTGGTTGCAACCGTCAATCCCTGGTCCCTTTCTTACCTCTTAAAAAACACAATTTTTCAACTTTTTGGGTAACATGGGCTATATATGTCTGTAAAAGATTAACTTCCCCAGGACTTGGAGTTTTAAGGGGTAAGCTTTTACCAGGGACTTATTTTGCAGCATGCAGCGGATGGGACGAATTTCTGGCGCTGGTTCTCATCCATCGCTGGTGCGAAGCGGATTTCGACCGTCCGCAGTAGCGGTTCAAACTTACGTTCAAACAAGGGCTTAGGCCGGCCAGGGGTTTCTTGATTAGTTATCTGGTGGATTCGTTTTTTTTTCTTCCTACCTTCCGAAGAACCAAGAATCAGGGACTGCCATTGATAGTGAACGGATGACCCTATTGTTTTCAGATTGAGAACCGGCACCTGTAGACTGACATCGATGGTGGAGTTCCTTACCAAGTAGATCAACCGGCCAGAACTGGCAACCTTTGCATAATTCGTCAGTCACACAAAGCGGCAGTTGTAGGGACGCTTATGCTTATGTTCCAACAAGTGCCACCACTACAAGCTTGTAACGCTGTATCTACCCCTTGTGTAAGGGGCGTATAAACTAGAAACTTCATACTTTCAAAACGCATACCGGAACTGACCTTGTCAAAGGCAGTCCTCCCCTGTAGTTTAACATGGACTGGTCGCAACAAAAAACAGAGTTTAGAATGGGGGCTTCTGTATTGTTTTTGGTCTTGCGCCAGTTTAAAGCATCAATCTTGGGACCAATAGCTGAGTTTCCCCTCCGGTTGTTTGAGCAGGACAATGTGGGGAGCCCTGTTTAAGTGGATAGGGTCCTTAGAGAAGCCTTGGAAACATGTATGGCATTGTATGGCCCAATGTCTCACTGAAGTTGGACGACTGTAGACTCACCTTTTGGGCTCGAACGTTTTCTTTTCAGCGAACCAAACGGTTGGGCGGTTTTCAGCGTACGCAAAACTGGCCCCAGGAGGCAACCGCCTGCCTGTTGCTTTTCAGCGAAGGGGCTTGGGTGTTTTCGGAGGCTTAGGGGGAGATTGGGATACTGTGATGGAGATACCTGGATGTTTTGTTTGCCATTTAATGTTGACTCCAGAAGTGATGAATCCCCACTAAAACCAGGGACACCCACATATTAATAAACAGGGGTTTGTGAAAATCCGGGTTCAACCTTAAAGTGTGCCAAGTTGGAATCTCCGTCTTTGACATGGGCATCAACAACAAAACGGATGTCGGTTAGGCCATGTACGGGCCCCCAGGCTGCCCGGTTTACATTGTGTTCGGTGTGCTGAAAGACGGGAAAGGGAACCTCAGTGCCCGAGGGCTCCAAATCCATTTCTCAAGGCGTACCTCAATAAAAGCCAAATCCATGTTTGCCAGGGTTGCAACTTCTCCTTTGGATTGAGATTTCACACTTGGGACATCTTGGGACTTTATGTGTCTTGGCCTCAGTTTTGTCTAAAGCAGCAAGTCGAAGGCCTGCCAATCCACTCGATTTATTTCTGAGGCACTGACTTCCCGGTTCGATTCCATTTTCCATCTCATCCAAGGCCGACCTTTGGACCTCAGACTGGCCTTTCGATTTTTGGGTTCCCACCTTTCGTCACCAAAAAAAAAGTGATCACCTTCGAGTTCCCCAGCTTCCGAACGTGACGCAAGCTTCTCGCTGAGCGTCGCTTCTCCTTTTGGACCTTTTGGACCCTTGTCGGGTTTTCCAATTTTATGAGTCACTTTGAGCCATGGCAACACTTGGACTCACTCACTTCTTCATGTCAATTCTGTTCGCTTTCTCACCTTTTGCGCCGCTTTTCCCCACCCGACCCCCCCTGGCGCACATGGCAGTGATCCCGGCGCCATTTGAGACACAGGCAAAACTCTCCGTTCAAAGGACATGTCTTCGTTCGTTGGTCAGAATATGGCAAAACCACGTAAAACGATCTTGGAAGATCTTAACCCCCCCCCCCCGCCACCCCAACCCCCCAGCCCGTCTGAAGCTGGGTCGTTCGCCAGGTGGCACCTACTTTGACCCCATCAGCTTCAAGTGCTCCTTCGAGTGCCCGCCGCTGGGCCGAAGAACACTTCGGTGCTTCGGTGGGTTTCGGGTTGGTGCCTCAAAGCTCCCTCCCCGAGCTTAGAGACTTGGCACTTTCTGGGTTTGGTGGGAGTTTGGTGGTAAACCAGCAGTTTGGAGGTGTTTTTTTGGGGCGCATCCACTCAGGGAGTCAGCGCTTGGCTCTTCGATTTGCCAAGGCTTTGTAAGTTGCAACGGCCGTTCGGGTACAACCCACTCAGTTCAGTCACCCCTAAGTGGAATTCACCTTGCTCACCTGGCGAATCGAACATCCAAGTGGGTCCCTGGTTGAGCCGGCATCCATTTTCGGATGAGATCGAACCCCGGTTGGGCCCAATGTAGGGGCTTGGTACTGGAAACGCATGGCGAAGCATTTAATAATGTTTTTTGATTGTTACAGCCATCCGATGCCATGGTTTCCCCCACTGGCATTCGGTTTCACAAAGCCCCTGGCCGAGGGATGGCAGAGTGTGTGGGCTGCAGAAATGGTTTAGGCAAGCGGCACAAGTGACTCGTGGTTGTATCCTTTCTTTTAGGGGACCACCCCCCCATATGCTGGTTTTCCTTCAGGTGTCCCGTGAAAACCAGAAGAATCAAGAATCGACACTCAAAAAAGGACACGCGAGTCAATTTATCTTGTTTTGCAGCCCAGCCTACCTCACTCCCTTCCCGGACTTTAGGCACTGGAAATTGGACTATTTCACAAGCTTTTTGTTGCCCAGTCCACCCAAAAGAAAAAGTGAGACACAGAACAAAAAGGGGGGAAAACGCAAAAAAGAACCAGGTGTTTTGTTTCATTGGGTGATACAAGCGTGTCAAGAAGCGCGCATAGAGCGGGAACAAGAAAACACCGGATTTTCTGCGAATTGAAAGGCTATTTAACCCCTGGAAGGCAAGCGCGGAAGATGGTGGACCTTCAAAGTTGTGGTCTGTGACTTGGAGTTAGGGGTACCTTGCTGGTGTTCAGTAGGGAATGACCCAGGGTTTTGGGAATGGACCTAGGGTTTTTTCTTGAAGGAAACCATCGATGATCGTCTTATTTTTGCATTCCAACTCACTCCCTAGCAATTAACGCACCAAATTTTTGCGGTTTTCAAGGGGGGGGGGGTGTCCCCGAAAAAGAAAAAAGGAGAAGAAAAAAGCAGATGGCCCCCTTGTGCCTCCAAAGAGTTACGCCAACTGGCCATGGGTCAATAACCTATGCCTCCATTGGGCGGATGAACACCCATGTACCACCTATTTTGATGTTCACCAGGGGTAAAGAGTTTTGACCCACAGCCAACTGAGGCCCGGCCGAATTTTTACGCCAGCGGGGGGCGCGGTTGTCCTTGGCCAGGTCAGACCACTTCATGGTGGGCATCGGGGATATGGGCCGCGAGTGCAAGCCCTGCCCACAACTCTTCGGCGCCTGCGTGAACGCCTCTCCGGCGCAAAAAAAGTGAACGGTTTTCGAGCCGGGGATGTGATCCATCTTCCCGTGAAGCCGCCCGGCTTTTGATCAAGGGTGACTCTTTTTTGTCCCTCATGCGGGCAAAACATATCATCCTTTTGGTGGTTTTCCGATCAATGGTCTGTGGTTTCCGAGCCATTTTTCACTTCGAAGGCACGGCAAAAGTGGCGCTCCTTTCAAAGGAAGCCACTACCAGCAAATGGCTGTGGGTCAAAACCAATGGCACCATTTTGGGGTGGGTGCACCACCTATTTTAGTCTATTTTAGTGGGGATTGGGATGTTTGCAGGGGGCACGATTTGGATTTTGACCCATGGCCAAATCGCAAGCTTAGGGGAAATCCAGGCAGCCACTGTGTGAACAAGTTCGAGCCGACATGGCTCGGCGATGAACTTGAATACTGCAGCCTCTCAAGAGTGGGTTGTGGACATAGATCCCCACCGAATTCTGATGTCCACCCAAAGGGCTCCACACTGAAAAAGCACTCCAAAAACATGAGCAACGTCAATATTTACGGTGCGGTTGAACAGGAGATGACATGGGGCACCTTCACCAAAATACCTTTCAGAAACGGCTCACCAACCCCCTGCCAGTTGGGAACATGACTATGTTCTGTGGCTTTCATGGTATCTGGTATTTTATGGCGAGGTGACCTAAGGTGTAAAACGAGCCTACCAAGATGATGGCCTTTGCTACGGGATCCAATTCTTATTTGGGTGTGTTTTTTGGACCCCGAACCCCCCCCCCCCCCACCACATGCTGGGTGTCCTTTTGGTTTCCCTTTAGACTGCCCGAAAACGGGTACCCCGAAAAAAACCGACGAGCCACCCATTTCAGGTTTGGAATGATGGACTTGGGCGAAACGCTTGGGGAAGCGCTTCCGTTTTGCTACCACCAGCGAGCAGCCCCTTTTTTTGCTGTCGAGTGCAAAGGCACAGTCAATACTGGTATCACGGGAAAGTCTTCCAAATAACCTGAGGGGGTCTGAGTTTGGGCCAGGCCATGGACAGAACCAGTTCGGGGTTGTTCTTAGGAGAGGAACAACCAAACAGCACACGCACCAGCACCCCAAACTGCAAGCCCCTTAGCATCCTTCTACACCAGCACCCCAAACTGCACCCCCCTAGCACCAGCCGATCAATCTTGCAAATCACTTCCCCCTCCTTATTAGAAGTTAGAACCCCTATGGCTTTCAGCTATGTGGGGAAAAAGGGGTTCGGCCAAAAAGCGGATTCCTCCACGAATGATGATTTTGTTGTGTTTTATGCTCGGACAGTCGGAGAAAAAGACGAGCAAACCCAGAACTCAGAACCCTCCACTTTGGAGCTCTCCGCAAACCCCTACTCGCTTGTCCAAAGCGAATCGACCTTATGACCGTTCGGATTTCCAATTTTCTTGGTGGCTCCCAGCCATCCGGTTCCTTAGCTTTTTTAGCCTTTTAGTGTTTAGTGGTAGTTTCCATTTAACCCAACAAAAGTTAGTCACTTTTCGCGGGGGATCCGAAAACGGGCAGCCACGTATTGGGTTCCCACTTTTCGTCACAAAAGGTGATCACCTTGTCCCGGGGCCTTTGAGCAAGTAGAAAGGGCCTGAGTGATCACCTTTTTGCCCACTCGAGGCTTTTTTCCACTGAGGTGATCACCTTTTTGCCCGCTCGAGGCTTTTTTCCACTGAGGTGATCACCTTTTTGCCCACCCTTAAAGTTCAGCTGTGGGTTTAAGGGACGCCTTAAGTCTTTCGGCCCTTCGTCTCCGAGGAGACTTTCGCAACCCAGTGTCGTGGGGATCAGCAGTATTTGGTGCGCGGCTCAGGTGTTCATTCGAGCCGACGCGACGTGTGTGCAAAAACCCGGTTTGGTGTTGGCTAAGAAGCAACATCTTGGGAGGTCTGCAGGAAGTTAGCCAAACAGGCAGTTTGGTTCATTTATTGAATATCTGCAGGAAGTTAGCCAAACATCCACCAACAAAACAGGCAGTTTGGTTCATTTATTGAATATCTGCAGGAAGTTAGCCAAACATCCACCAACAAAACAGGCAGTTTGCTTCATTTATTGAATATAATGATATATATATATATATATATCTATATATTGTCTTGGAGTTTGCGGTTTGCTTCTATGGCTATTCGAGAGTACCAGGTAAATTGATGTAACCGAGCCTCACGAATTGGAGCGTTGCGTACCTTGAAGCACGTTTCGGAGTAAACCTCTCGCATGTTACTGTGTCGCCTCTCACCTTGGTTTGATTAGGTTTGTCGTATGGCCCGAAAGCAAGCCGTGACACGTCGCGCTAGAACCAAGCGTCAAAGGGCTGGCGTCAAAATCTCATAGGTCGCCTCCGAGCAGCTCCCAGGAAGCGCAGGACGTGTTTTTCGAGCCAAATCAGCGCAGGATCCCATTGGGCGAACTTCCTAGAAATCCAGGAGCTGATTTGGCTGTGGTCAAAACCGTTTTGGTGGATCCCATTTTGGTTGGGATTGGTGAATTCACCCATTTTAGAGCCTATTTTGGTGGTTTGCTGGGGGTACGATTTGGATTTTGACCCATGGCCATTGCTGGGGTTTGTAGTCACAGAAGGGGACAGAAGGCGGGTAGGCCAGCATTTTCCCGCACAAGCCGGGGGATTTGCCGAACTTCCTATACTCAACATGTCCAAAGCCAAAGCGAATCGGTCGAACTCTTGAAATATTTGTTTTTTTTCCCCCTGATTTGGCGTTGCCATTTTCCGTGGCAACCCAAAAGGTAGTGTATTTCCGGGAGCTGATTTCTTAGAGAGTCTGCAGTCAAATTGGGGGAGAGGGGGAGGCCTCAATTTTCCCCCAGTGCCTGTTCCCTTGGGTGCGAAGACCGGTGTTCTATGGTCATTTGCACCCTTTGTTGCTCGCTGGCTTGGATACATTTGAGATGCTCTTCAAGCCTAGAGGAATTTTACTTGGTGGCTCCCAGCCATCCGGTTCCTTAGCTTGTTAGCCTTTTAGTGTTTAGTGGTGTAACCTACTAAAAGTAAAACTTTAAGCGGGGGATCCGAAAACGGGCAGCCCAGTTTAGGGATGTGCTCGCCCATTATTAAAGGTTCTTCCCATCAAAACCAGGGGGCTAAGCCTAAGCCCGACCTGTTTTCGCCTCCGCAACCTCAGGTGCCGGCGGGGGGCGCTTGCTCATCCAGCTGCCCCGCGGGCTTCTTCGGGCGGCCAGGCGCGGATGCGCGGATGCGAGGAGCGGAGTCGGGTCTCAGGAGAGGCATCTGGCACCGGGGATTCTAAGAAGCCTGGAGTTTGCTCCCTGAAAAAAAATCCTTGTTTTTATTTTTCTCCTTTTTCGGCTTGGAGCATTGTGGTTGTGTTTACAGAAGTTGGAAGGCTCTCAGAACCCTTCCCAGAAAACTTCGAAGGCTGGGTTCGGCCGATCCAAGAGTCGCTTTTTCTGGGCTTGGCTAGCATTTTAGTTGTAAACACAAGCTCGGACTTTTGTAAAACTTCGAAGGCTGGGTTTTGCACCCCGAAAACGTTTTAGCTTCAGAAGTTCGGACCTTTGTTGGCTGATCCACTCAGTAGTTCAGTTCAGAGGGAATCCTTCAGACTTTGAGCGGACCCCTCAAACAAACACCTTGATTAATCCGCGGTTGGGATGTGCTTTCTGGGCACATCATAGCGACTTAGCTGAGGGTTGCTACCTCCATTCTGAAGGTCCCTTGTTGTCGGTGAATCATTAGTATACCCTTTTCCGAGCATGGAAGTGGACAGAAGTCCTTTGAAGATGCGGGTTTTCAAAACCTCCTATTCACTTTCAAGGTGAGTGGCTATCAGTTGGAAGCGTCCAATTCCGACCCAGATATTTATATTTGTTTAAAGGTCCAAATGTGGGCAAACTCTACCCAGGGCGTGCAAACTCGCTATAGATCTTGACGCCATTTGAGCCACAATCAAAACCCTGGTAGACAAAGGTTAGGAAGGGACATTCCAAACCATACATAGGTGCACATACCTGCCATGTTGACTCTTTACACAGTTTTTGGGTAGATCTTTGATTGGCGGGAGCGTCTGCATGCCTGAGCACATCTTCGGGGGGGGGGTGTGGAACAAGTTGCCCAGGTTTCCTAGAGGGGCTGTTTTCGCCTTTTCAACCCCAACAAGGGTCATACACCATGAGAAGGAAGCGGAACATGCCGCGGCAGATGAACCACGCAAGCAGCCACTGAGATTATAATGGTGAGAATGTTGCTTCCAAGTCAAAATAAAGTAGACATGAGAGGCAACAGGCGTTCTCTATAGCAAAAAGACCCCTGGAGGGGTTTCATTTTTACTGCCCTGCCTGTGTTTTGGGCTCCTTATTCATCTCCCTCCTCCCAAGCAAAAGAAGTAGCACTCCTTTGTTTGGGCAAATGATACTCCATCGCGACTTTCCTTACCTATGAATGGCAACCCCGGATGAATAACCTCGGTTTATTAGTGGGGGGGGAACCCATCACTTGTGGAGGGGAACACCACCCCCATATGAACACTCAGGGCTTGATGAATCCGGGGTTGCCCTTCAGTTTTTCGTGGCGACCATGCAGACTCGGGCTTTTGGAGCAGGTCCCGAAACACCTAGCTCTCAGGCCCATTGATTGTCAGCCTTGGTTGGTTGGTTGGTTGGTTGGTTGGTTGGTTGGTTGGTTGGTGGGTTGGGTTGCAAGGTCCCCCAGCTAGGTGCCTTTCTCACCAACTTTTTTGGGGGTGTGTTCCCTTACTAACATAGACTACAAAGAAAGGGTACCCTTATTCTAACCTCTCCACTGGAGGACCTAGGTTGGGTTGGGTTGGGTTGGTTGGCGGGCGGGCCAACCGTGGCCAGCTCGGCGCCCGAAGGGTGAGCTTTTCAAAGAATCGCCACACGCCAGCCGTGCGGTCTGTGTGGGTCTTTTTTGCATCTTCCCCAAGCTTAGTCTGAACCTAGAGCCGACCAGGGTGGACAGTTGGTTCGGAATTCCTGGGCTCCACTCAGACATTCTCTCGAGAAGTCCCGACAGCCCCCTTGGTGGGCCCAACCGAAAGAAGCCCAATGCACGCGAGGCTCCAACCAGATTTGGGGACAGCCACCAAAATCTCCACCATCTTTCCTTCGGGAAGATACCAAAGCAGACAAGAACGGTTTCCAGGCTTCCATTTTGCTTAGGAGTTTTTTTTTCTTTTCCCCCCTGTTGGTTTTGAAGGGACTCGATTTCACTACTGGATAGATATATATATATATATATCTTTTTGCAGGGGTCTTAGGCAAACGGAAGTTTCCAGGCCGGCCCAGAAACCGCATTTTTCAGGCTGGTGAAAGGAAGGCTGAGCCGACTAAACCCTCCGCTGGGTGTGTTGGACGGACCTCAGTCGCGTTTAAGTCTGGGAGGGTTTCTCCAAATCCGAGGGTTCAATTCTCTCCCTTTCTTTGGGTGCATTTTGCCAAGGGCTGTTGGGACTTTATAGCTTTTTGCCAACGAATTTGGGTTTTCTACTAAACCGCTAAAAGTTAAAAGCTTTTAGCAGGGGAGCAGAAAGCAACCGAGTTTTGTTTTTCTTCTGCGGGGTTGCTGAGATTTCTACACTGACGATGGGGTCTCGACCCATTTGGAGACGCTTCTCCAATTTGGGGGGCTTCCCCAAAAGCACGAAAGCAAACCAACATGCGTTGAACTAAAGGCTTGGCCTTAAAGACCCCAAAGAACGTGGAAGCTCCAACCACCCCCTTAGTCAGCTTCCCCCTATTTGGTGGTTTGGTTTGGTGGTTTGGACCTTCTTGGGGCCGTTGTTTCCCCATTTGGCTTCAAGCGGAACTGGGTTTCAAATGCCAAACCAATCCAAACCTACCTGAGCATATATGAGACCTCTCCTGCAGATTCACATGGAACCCCAAAAGGAACCTCATTTTGGGGGCAACTTCCTGTTAGGGTTTACGGACTTCAATCCAAACCGATTCAGAGGGGAAGCTCACAGGTTTGGATTGAGCTCCGGTCCCAGCTCGCAGGTTCCACGGTTCCATCGACCCCCCTCGCCATCGCCACGCCGGATCGATCCCTGGACTCAGGCGTGGTGATGTCGGAGGAGGAGCCTTTGATCGGCGGCACCTGCGAGCAGTGCATCGCGCCCTGCGAGACCTGCTTCTCCGCCACCGCGCCTTTGCATGGCAACCGCGTCGTTTTTGGGAGTCGTCGTTGCCGGAGAGTGGCCCTGCGAGTCGAGAAGTCGGCGAAACAAGCAAACAGGAACACGTGAGATCGTCAGAGCCGAACAGGCGACCAAAGAAGGCCAAGAACAATACGAAGAACAGAAGGCCTTGTACCAAAAAGGGCCAAGTCCCGAACAAAATCATCCACGAACTACTCGCTGCCTTGGATGTGTTTTTTTCCAAAAAAAAGCAGCGGTACTTGCCAGATCTCGCCTCAGTTGCCCAGGGGTGGGCCTCTTTCTGTTTATTTTTTTGGGTTCTCGGGGGTTCTCGGGGTGGGTATCCTCACATCAACCAGTTGAGGGCCTTGGCCCTTTGTCCTATGGGAAACTGGCGGTTCAACGAGTCAACCTAGAGAAGGCAGGCAGCACATTCCGCAAGTTTTTCGATTTTGCGGGATCCGTTCGCATCACGTCAGAAGCATTTCGGCAGGGGTTCTTTTTGTTCCGCATGGCAAACCCATTCCCATTGAATCGAACCTGCTTGTTCCAACACAGATTGGGGGGGTATAAACGGGAGGTGGAGTATGGGTTTGCGCTTTTGGAGGGTAATTACCTTCTCAGCTTTAAGTTGTTTTTTTGTTTTTGTTTGCTTGCTTGGTCTACCTTTGGGGTGTGCAAGGATGTTTTCTTCTATAATTGGGGCAGACTACATATGGGTATGGGTCAAAATTAATCCACCAGGATATGGACCGCAGGTTTTGGTCCATGTTTCCATCTACCAGGATTCCATTTACATGTGTTTGACCCACAGCCGGGGGTATCAAGAAGCGTATGAGGCGTGAGGTCAAAGCCACGACTTTTAGTTCGCGATTCCAGTGTTCAGGCAACTCTTTGGTGGATTGAATTGGTGGATTGGATTGGAAGCCCTGGTTCTTGCAGAGGGTAAATGAGGAAACGCCGGTCACCAATCCAAAACATCCCAACCACCAATCCAAACCACCGATTCTTGGCAAGCTGAAATCATGGTTGTTGTTGGGAAACATTTTACATCTTTGCTTATTGTGGTTTAGTGGGAAATCCCCAGTTAACTGCTATTATTTTTCAATTGTTGCTCCCCTTCCAACGTCAACCAATCCAAACCACCAATCGAAACCACCAATCCAAGTCACCGATCAGTGGCAACCAAGAAATCTCAGTTGTTTTTGCTTTTTGTGCAACGTCAACCAAGAAATCTCAGGAGTGCAAGACCTGCAAGGGCGGCACCTACTTGAACCCCTACGACCACGGCTGCCGCTTCGATTGCCCTCCGGACACCTTCATGAGCGGCACAGGAGTCTTTCGGAGCCTTGAGTCCGTCAGAAGCAAATGGCGAGGTCAGCGATTGGTGCCCGACCTCTCACCCCTTGGTTGATTGGGAGGGTTTTTCTAAAATAAGAATCCTGAAAAAACTGGGTGCCCAAATTTCTAACCTCTCAAATCAAGAGGACCTAGAAATGGTGATGTCTGGATTTGAAGGTACCCCTTTGTTTGTGGTGGTACAGGGAATCCACCCGTTGGAGGCTCGAGCCCGGATGAAATCGGGTAGCCGCTTTCATCAATCAAAGCGGACAGTTCCTCAAAAGAAGCCGAGTCTTTTGATATCTTGTCAGCTTCCATGATTGTTGGAGATGTTTCATGTACTTCGCCCCGTTTTGCGAAAAAGCACCAGTGGCCTCCTTCTTACCCCCTCCCCCCCCAAATGATAGATTCGGTCACAAAGGCTGTAGTTGGACCTGTAAGTTGCATCTTTGATGGACATGGACATGCCTTGGTTCCAAGTGAGCGCTCAATGATTTGGCCTTATAGGTTGTCCTACCCGGTTTCATTGTTGCTAATACTGTCCCCCTAATATGACAATTGCCCCCTCTAATCATAAGCTGGTCGCCCGGGGAAAACCATTTGAATTCTTAGGGGGGTCCCCTGTTCATTTTCGGGGATCCCTGAAAAAGCCGACGAAACGGACTCCCGGAGCCCCGGCTCGAAAGTCGCAGCTTTGTAGCACACGCGTAGTAGGCTCCCTTCACAAGCTCTTACAATGGGTTGCTTTGCAGGATCGAAGGTGCAAAAGGGTCCCCCTCATAGGGCTGGATTTGAGCAAGGGCACGAACACACCTACTTTTAGAATTGGTTTAGTATTGGCCAATTCTAAGAGTAGTATTTCCGGATTTGGGATTCTCAAAACTACATTTTTATTTTTATTTTTAATTAGGGGGACCTTTAATATTAGGAGGAAGGGATTATAGTGAAGCCTATAAAAGCCTGAACCATGGTAGTAGAACTGTGTGAATGAGCCAGCCGCTTTTCGGGTCCCTCTTTTTTGTGTATCCCACATGTTGACCATAGACATGGTGAGCTGGCTTCTCGGGACGAGCGAATGAGAGATGGATGGTGATGGTTGCACCCAAAGACCATGCCGTTCTTCATAATTATGATTTTCATACCCCCCTTTCCCAAAAGCATTTCTCAGTCATTTCAAACCTTTTCAAATTTGGTTCGGCCAGTGCACCGAAAGGCTTTCGGGCTATGCGCTACCCACTTTCGGCACATGGGGAGGTTTTTCCACCAATCACCAACTCCCTCGGCCCATTTCGCGAGGCCGAGTCAGACCGAATCAGACCTCCCGGTGCTGTTCTTATGGTTTTTTTTCTCTCAGTTATCGAATTTTGGTCCTGGAAGGCGCGGCTTGGCTTGGCTTCCTGTGTTTTCTTTGGTTTCATTTTTGGTGGGTGCTGTTCAATTACTCCCAGCTTGCCCAAGATGCATTGGAGAACCGGAAGGACTCGTTGTCATTTGCTTTGCTTTTGCCAAGTGTTGCTAGCTGCCCAGACCTCAGTGGTGCCGTTTTCTTCATTTTGTTGGAGAGAGGGTTCCCTTTCTTCCCCATTCGAGGTACGGGTCAAATGGCCATGGGGTTCCTTGTAAAGGGTTATGATTTTGCGGGGAGTTCCCTTTGAACCACAAGTCTACGGGTGATTGTTTCCTCCCATATTTCAGGACGCTTGTGGATTGCCCAAGGGGCTTGTCCGAAGCGGTTTCCCGGCGGCTTGCGGGGCCGTTTCTTTGGCTCTTTCCATCGCGTCCTCTTGCAAGGAAACTGACCAAACAGAAAAAGGCTGGGGCCAGTCTGAGGATCGATTCATAGCACCGGTTGGATCAAAGTTTTTGCAGCGTTGGGTTGTCAGGAGCCAACGGACGGACTTGCGAGCTTTGCCCCAGCCCCTTCTACGCGTGCCTGAACACCACCTATGCCACCGCGCCCCTTGGCGTGTCCCGTGGTGATGTTTGGTCCAGCTTCGTTTGTATGCCCGGTACATGTACCGAGCAAGTGTATCTTGCAAAATGTGCGTCGGACGGCAGTCGCGGCAGGTTTGCGGGAAGGTTTGCCGCGCGAAAGCTTCACGGAAGGTTTATGTGTTAAAGTGAGCATTGCAACAAGAGACGCTGGTCGCGGAAGCAAAAGCAGCAAACCATGCCCACGGAAGGCTTGGAAGCTTTAACAACAGCAGGCCCCCGGAAGCAACCGGTGCACCCCGCACGAGCTTGGCAGAAGGGTTCGCAGACGGTTGAATCTCATGTTTCGACGGTGTTTCACTACATTGTGCGGAGTTTTGTTCCCGTGAACGGCCAAGCAAGGGCCACTCTTTTCTCTCGCTCTCTGAAATCAACTTTCAGGGGCAAGTGAGAATCGGTTGACTGGGTAATATCGGTTCGATTTTTGGTGAGGGGCAACAGCCCGATCGGCGGAGCAGACTTCGGTTTCCAGCTTAACATTTAGATGGGTTCTGGTTTAGATAGGTTAAAAAAAAGGGAGACCCATCTATTGTTCTGCAAACGGCCTATGAAAGAGACACAGCCAAACGGTTCAAAGGAAGCACCGACTCTGGGTCCTAAGTTCGCAGTCCAACTTGGGACATGAGTCTTCAGACTATCGTCGCCCCAAGCAGGGGTGGGTCACAGTCCCGACCATATATAGTGTATTATATATATAATATATATATATATATATGCCACCCCCCGCCAAATGTCAACTCTTGTTGGTTTCAATGGTATTTGCAGTGTTCTCCGCCGTTTTTGGTGCTTTGGGGAAAGCAGAAAAAGGGTGCCTGATTAACGTATTGGGAACACATCCTGGGAAAGGAAGTCCTCTTGAAGATCTAGATTGAAGTAAGAACCACGATTCAACACATTCTTCCAAAAGGACATCCTATCAACATCATCTTTAAAACTAGAAATTATATTAGGATGTGTCGCTGCTAAGTTCTGTTTGGATTTCAATTAGAGTATGGACAAACTCAGTCCTAGCAAAAGATACCCCCTTTAAATTCTTGAAATAGGAATTCCAACTGCAAATGTAATGTTAACAGTGCCTATTCAACCGTTCGTCAAAATGGAAACTCTACTCGAACTGTTTACTTGTTAAATTCTATTCGTATTTTAATCAAACAATAAACAATGGAAGCCAGTGTAAAATCTAAAGTCAAATAAGACACTTAATTACACAACTTATTTGAACATGGACACCTGATTAGATTCCCTTTAAGCTGGAAATCGTACTAGGAGTACGTTCCTATTAAATTTCACTTAAATTGTATCAGATAATTGACAAAAGAATGCCTAATACAAACCTTCTTTTAAAACACGCCTATCTACATCATCGTTAAACATAGAACATCTACTAGATTTTTTCCCCTATTAAATTCCATTTCAAATCTGGTCAAACACAACAGCAGAAAACCTTTCAAAGTCGAATGTAAAATAAGATGTGTAATTACAAACATTCATTGACACCTAGCACTTATTTAGATTATCTTTAAACTGGAAATCCAATAGAAGAAAAGGAGACCACCGGTAAATCTAAGTTGAAATAAACATTCCAATTAAAAAGAGTCTTTGAAAAGGAAATGATGGGCCTGATTTTTGACACTTTACGTGTTTTACAAACTAATTTGTAAAACTTGCCCAATATCAACAAATCTGCTCCAGAGTCACATTTTGTACAACATAATTTGTGATTGTTGTCAAATTTAGATATTAGTTTGTGCAATTAATTTGTGCAATTTGTGCAATTAATTCCTGCCAAGTCTCACTGAAAGCCAGTCCTCCTCCCCGGCACAGTATACATACTCTTCCCTCTTACGGGGAAGGGGGGCGTATCTCCTTTCAGAAAGGGTTTAAACGGTTTTGGGCCTTGGGAGGGGGGGGGTCTTTCCTCTAAGAAACGGTTTGAACACGGAGCCCTTCCTCTGAGAAGGGGTTTTAACGGTTTAATGGGTTCAAACGGTTTGGGGCCCTGACCCTCTTGTTTGCATCTGACCAAACCGCTTAGCAAAAAAAATGGTAGATCCAAGCCGACAACTTAGGAGATTCGAGATCTGGAAGAGTGCGCAGCCTGAAGCTTCCGGATTCTCTTTGCAGAAGCGCCCCTTGTTAAGCTGCGTTCCCCAGAGCCCAAGAAAGGCAGACCACGCCGGTAAGTGCCTGTGAAGTCTTGAAACAATCATTCAAGTAGGATCGATGATAAACAAATCTACTCTGAGAAATTGGCTTGCGAGGCGATGGCTGGAATTACTTGTAAAATGTCAAAAAGCATGGCCCAACAGTACAATGTTTACTTGTAACAATGTTGTTTCCTGAAATTTTACAACATTTACAAGTTAATTTGTAAATTTGAAAAATGTAGTTTTGGACCATACTTTTTTGATTTTGTTTGTTAAATGTCTAAAATGTGTCATGCAATTCTAACCAACCCCCGTTGCAAGCCAATTTCTCAGAGTATAATTTGTAATACTTGTATTTATGGACCTGAGTTTTGTTTTTGAAATTTGCAAGTTTTACAAATTGATTTGTAAGATTTGTAATTTTGGGCCAGAGTTTTGTGAAATTGATTTGTAAAATTTATAAAACATGCAATTTAATTAGAACCAAATCCTCTTGCAAGCCAATTTATCATAGTGGAATTTGTAAAAACCTGCAATTATGGGCCTGATTTTGTTGAATTTCCAGCCATTTGGATGTGGTTGATTTGGCTTAGTTTTGCCTAATTCTAGTTGAGTATTGGGGGGGTTGGGGTGGGCAAAAGCAACTGGTCGGGTTATTGATAGGGTGCAGTGTTCTTGGGGGAAGTGACTATTATTCTAAGATTATACAAGTATTAAGTATTGCCTGTGTTTGCGGGATTGAGACGACTTGACGCTGGCGCAATTTTACTGCGTGCTTGAAGTTGCTCGCCTGATGATGTGCAGACCAACCCAAATGACTATCTAGCTGGCGCTAGTCTGTTTTTGTGGAGACGGTTGGATGCAGCTGGACTTGGGGTGATGACAACCTGAAGCTTTGGTCCCAAGTATGGTCAGAAAAAGACTCTTTGACAAGCATGTACGTTTCATGAATTGCGTGTCTGGCAGCTGCTGGTAAACCGCAATCTGCACCTTGATAGAATCCCTGCGCTTTTGCAATTGGCGAGAGGATTGGCAAACGGATTTGCAATGGAGATGCAACTGTTGCAGTCGTTGTTAGATGCAATTCCGAGCAACAGT